GTTTATTTATTTATCTATGTCTACAACATTTGGTTCCAAAGATATAGTGATTAGAAAATCAGAGTTTGTGGCAAAGACTCAATTCCTTTATTTCAATAAAGAGATATTAAGCGTAATTTCAAGTTCCCCTTTATGCAATGATGACAATAACATCGAATGAAGGAAAGAGAAGTTTTAGCCTTCTAAAGAGAATACTTCATTACACAAGATGTACTATGACGGAGAGCAGACCTAACGATCTTGCACTTATGGCTCACTTCTGAGAAAATTATTGAAATGTTTGTGCAAGCAAATCCAAGAAAATTGAAGCTTAAAAGAGTTTATGAATATGTAGATGGAGTAAAATTCTATCTACAAATTTCAGAAGAAATTTCGTTTATTAGTGAAAATATGATTTTTTAATGATGCTGTGATTATTGATTTAGTTAGCTGTGATGGAGTTAAGTGATAAATTTCTAAATTTATAAAATTAAAAAGTTAAAGTTAGTTTTTCGAGCAAAGGAATACATTTAGTATGAATTTTAGACTCTATAAGGTTAGTAACACCCAAAAATGTAGTCTTTTGGTGTATTTTTATGGTGGTAATTGACTTTTTGAACAAAACAATTCCAGGGGGGGGGCAAAAAACAGCCAGGGGGGGCAAAAAAAAATTTTTCGCTCTTCGCGCGAAATCTTGCCCCCCCCTGGCTAAAATCCTGTGTACGCGCCTGATTACAATAAAAAGCAGGTGCAGTGGTTCAATTTAAATTTAGTTGATAGGATATCTTAAGCCCAACTTAAAACTTATTTATGGATGCTTATAATCAAACCTTTTCATAAATGTTTCTTTTTCATTTTTGATTTTCCTAAAATGACCGTGTAGTTTTTAACTGGCTATAGTTAATAAAGTTTGAGTAAGTGTTTTACTTGATATTTTTCAGAGCAAAGTGGATTATTTGAGGATGTGAGTAAATGTTGTCTTCTAAGACAATGTTCTTCCAGACAGAAGACAGAAAACAACCTAAAATATTAAAGGAATTGACTCTTTGCCACAAACTCTGATTTTCTAATCCCAATATCTTTAGAACCCAATGTCGTAAACCTTTGATATTTCAAACTTATATTTTTTGATCTAACAAAAGTCATAGTTTGAACTTTCAAAGGTTTACGACGTTGGAATCCAAAGATATAGGGATAAGAAAATCAGAGTTTGTTGCAAAGAGTCAATTCCTTTAATGAAAAGTTACATTGGTAAATTTTAAAATTATCGGATCTAAAGTTGGGAATTTATAAACGACAGAGTAGTTGAGCTACAACGAGAACCAGAAAACTGTGGAATAGGAAAACGACTATTACTATAATGTCAGCTTTTTATTCCATTGCTTTCTGGTTCTCACTGTATGTTCAACTAACCGTATCCTTTTCATTTTTCTTTTTTTAAAATTTCTATTTTAATTTATCAAGGTTTTCATCATCACATGAGCCTTTATTCTTGTATCCTAGCCTCCTATGGATGGTGTGTCCTAAAATATTCTTGTTTCCTAGCCTTCTATGCATGATGTGTCCTAAAATATTCTTGTATCCTAGCCTCCTATGCATTATGTGTCCTAAAATATTCCTGTTTCCTAGCCTCCTATGCATGATGTGTTCTAAAATATTCTTGTTTCCGAGCCTCCTATGCATGATGTGTTCTAAAATATTCTTGTTTCCTAGCCTCCTATGCATGATGTGTTCTAAAATATTCTTGTTTCCTAGCCTCCTATGCATGATGTGTCCTAAAATATTCTTGTTTCCGAGCCTCCTATGCATTATGTGTCCTAAAATATTCTTGTTTCCGAGCCTCCTATGCATGATGTGTCCTAAAATATTCTTGTATCCGAGCCTCCTATGAATGACGTGTCCTAAAATATTCTTGTATCCTAGCCTCCTATGCATGATGTGCCCTAAAATATTCTTGTTTCCTAGCCTCCTATGCATGATGTGCCCTAAAATATTCTTGTTTCCTAGCCTTCTATGCATGATGTGTTCTTAAAATATTCTTGTATCCTAGCCTCCTATGCATGATGTGTCCTAAAATATTCTTGTATCCTAGCCTCCTATGCATTATGTGTCCTAAAATATTCCTGTATCCGAGCCTCCTATGCATGATGTGTTCTAAAATATTCTTGTATCCGAGCCTCCTATGCATGATGTGTTCTAAAATATTCTTGTATCCGAGCCTCCTATACATGATGTGTTCTAAAATATTCTTGTATCTGAGCCTCCTATGCATGATGTGTTTCCTAGCCTCCTATGCATGATGTGTTCTAAAATATTCTTGTATCCTAGCCTCCTATGCATGATGTGTTCTAAAATATTCTTGTATTCTAGCCTCCTATGCATTATGTGTTCTAAAAAACGTGACAGTTTCAGGGCAAATTTGATGATCGTCTTTGATTTTTTAAATGATTTGCAGCATACATTCGTCAACCTATAGTTTTACAAGTAAAAGTATTGATTTAACACAAATTACTGCAAAAATGATATCTTAAAGTCGAGTCTCGCAACTATCATGTTTAGATGGACACCATGTCATGGTTCCCTGCAGTGCTGCTGAACGATTGGTTTTTCTTTTTAAGATCATTTTTTATGTTATACAGGGTGTCCCACGAAACAAGACAGTAGCAAGACGACTTGAAAAACTCCTTGTCTTGTCATTTCCAAAATGTGGTCTGCCTTTTTGTGCGTTCAGTATTACCGGAGTCAAGGACCGGAGATATGAAGAATTTTGTTCAGATTTTGACAATATTGGTTTTATTCATTAAAAGTGGAATCTGAACAAAATTCTTAATATCTCCGGTAATATGACAGCGAAAAAAAAGACAGACCACATTTTGGAAATGCCAGAATTGGTTATTGTTTCCAGAATCCTAGATGTAAAAGAAGGTTGACTACTGAATGTCACAAATAAGTTCGAAGACGACTTGTAAGTCTTCTTGCTACTGTCATGTTTTGTGGAAAACCCTGTATCGTCAGAAGACTAAATGTTTTTTTATTATTTTACCTAAGATGTTGCCACAAACTTTCTGTTTTAATATTCCTGTAAAGTAAAGACTTACCAAAAATGTTGCCAATTTGCTGGAAATTAGAATTTTCTGTAGATGTGTTCAGTTTTAGTTTTTTGTAAAGGGGCTGTTTCAGGTTTTCAGGAAGGAGCTCCAGAAAAGATTTCACAGATGGGAGGTCTGCGCACTAAATAATGGGACAAAATCGTTGAAGTTAACTTTATGATGGTGGTTACTGAAACCTGTAAAAATGAAGAAAGATTGAAATAATAATTTACAGAATATATTTATTGTCTAATCTACCTATAGTTTTGTTAAACATGTATTTATATTGTCCATATCTGTCTAGTCTTTAAAAATGTATTTATTGTCCAATCTGTCTTGTCTGTGACAATGTAATTATTATCCTTTCTGTCTAGTTCTTCAATTCTATCAGTCGAGTCTGTGAAAAATGTATTCATTGTCCTGTCTGTCTAGTCTTTGAAAATGTATTTATTGTACAATCTGTCTATATTCGGTGAAAATGTTAATATTGTCCTATCAGTTAAGTTTGTAAAAAAATGTCTATCTATTGAAAAGTATATTTATTGTCTGTCAAAAATGTATTTTTTGTCCATTCCGTCTAATTTTAAAAATGTATTTATAGTCCTATCTCTTTAGTCTCTGAAAAAGTATCTATTGTCCAATCTGTCTGATCTGTGAAAATGTAATTACTATGCTATCTGTAGTCCGTGAAGAATGTCTTTATTGTCCAATCTGTCTAGTCTGTCAAAATGTATTTATTGTCCTATCTGTGTAGTCTGTGAAAATATAATTAGTATCCTTTCTGTCTAGTTCTTCTTCTTCTATTTGTCTAGTCTGTGAAAAATATATTTTATTGTCCTATCTTTCTAGTCTGTGAAAATGTATTTATTGTCCAATCTTTCTGATCTGTGAAAGTGTAATTACTATTCTATTTGTCTAGTTTGTAAAAAATGTGTTTATTGTCCAATTTGTCTAGTCATGTGAAAATGTGTTTATTGTCCAATCTGTCTAGTCTGTGCAAATTTAATTATTGTCCAATCTGTCTAGTCTGAAAAATATATTGTTTGAATTGAATTAGTCTAGTCTAAAGTGTACTGTATATGAAACACTGCATAAATGCAATTTACATTCTACACGGACCCAATTATTTAAAAAATTATTATCAAATTATTAATTATTAAGAATTATTAGTCTCATCCCTGGAGGATTGGTTTAATAAAACAACTCAGTGCTAGATCACGGAGTCCAGGAGGAGGTCGTCTTCTGCAAAATAGAAACTAAATCATTTCGTGTAAAAACACTAAAACACACCGAAATTAAAGTAGTCTTTGTTTAAGAAAGCAATCGGTTTTTAGTCCTTGTTCTGATTGATATAAATATAAAAATGTACAGAGCCATGGGAACTTTTGTACGCACGGGATACCTTTATTTCTCGATATCAACAGCGGATACTTTTAATTTGAGGATCAATGCACATTCTTTTTATTTCAGGCCGAATATTAACAACAATTTTTTATAAAACCAATAATACCTGATCTCCATTTTAAAGCACTGTCTCACTCATTTTAGAAAAAATTAACTTAAAGAGAAAAATCGTAATTCATTAAGTATTTGAGGAAGAATTACTGAATTACCACTTGCATTTGCTTTTATCTAATATATTCTTTTTTAGAGGATGAATAGTTTCAGACTTTTCAATATTATTAAAGGGAGTGACCGGCAATGTATGGTGGTTGAGCTGAGTATGCAGTATTGTAGAAAATTCTTTTTAGGATTCATTTGAGACACATAAAACGTTTCCACGATGTATTATTACTGAGCTTGTGTGCAAAGTCGACGTTCAAAATCATGAATTTGGGTAGGTATGTTTTCAGAATCGTTTTTTTTAATTTATCAAATTACGATGACAAAAAATAAAGTAAAATTTCTATTGTTAACTAATTAGATGTTTAGGATCATATTTCTCAAAAGAAATTTGTCAACTATTTCGTTTTCATCATTATATTGAATTTCTTATTTTATATGAATTTGTTCGCAGATTTCTACAAATTGTCGCCTTTTCAATAAAAATTCCAAAAAATCTGCAGAAAATCTTTGTGAATAATGAGAGATTATAATAGAAACTAATAATTGAATAAGATTCCATATTTTCGATGATAAAAGTTTTAATTTTTATTTTCTCAACCTGTTCCAAAACAGCTAATTAGTTTACTGTAGAATTTTGTTTACATTTTTTGTGGTCGTTATTCAATAATTTAACAACAAAAAACGATTCTGAAAACGTACCTACCCAAATTCATGATTTTTAATGTCGACTTTGCGATCAAACTCAGTAGATATACATCTAAGAAACGTTTTATATGTCTCAAATAAAGCCTAAAAAATGTTGTCCACAACTCTACATATTTAGTTCAACCACTAAACATTGCTGGTCACTCCCGTTAAAATCCTTAAGAGTGAAGACGTAATTTCAATTATAAATTAATATGTCCGATTCACACTTCACAGTTGTTATCTTCAACCCTTGGCCTGATTCGTCTGATTAAGGATGACTGATGAAATATTCTATTTGTTAATTTCAGCTGAAAATTGGTTATTTTTATGAGCTTCTCTGTAAAAGTGACTTGCGGGTTTATTATGCAGAGACAACCAAAAAAAGTTTAATAATATTACACTTTTCAAATAGAAAAACTAGTATTTCTTCATCAATGTTACTCAGATCGGATAGAAGAGGTTAAAAGGAACGATAGTGAATCGGACAGTCCCTTTATCTTCTCTAGACTATATACATTATTATAAAGAACTGGAGGGTATAGAATGACTCCAAACTTCAACCCATGGTGTAGGTTGAACCTAAGAGTATGAACAATATAGAGACAAATATAGAGATCATCATAAAATTAACGTAAATAGATAAATATATGATTGCATCAACCATGGAAATACTTTCTACTTTTATATGGAAATATGCAAAAATAACGTTTTATTTTTTTTCGAATTTTAATAAAAATTTTTACAGGTTTCATTTGCATATTTTATAATGTTTAAACTACGTCTCCTCCTTCTCTTCCTCTTCTCCGTCGTCCTCTTCTCCTTATCTTCCTCCTCCTTATCCTCCTCCTTATCCTCCTCCTCCTTATCCTCCTCCTTATCCTCCTCCTTATCCTCCTCCTCCTCCTCCTCCTCGTTCCTCATTCTCTTCATTTGAGAATCTCTTATTATTGGTTCTTATTTGTAACACACTCTAAGTGCGTTTCAAACCAGTTTCAACTCCCACGCAATTTTCAAGTCTTTCAACAACCTTAAACAAATGTGTAATAATTGGGAAAGGGGGGGCGAGTTGGGAAGGGGAAGGTAGAGTAAGATGGGGAAAGGGGGGGGAGGTGGGGACTTGCGGGGATGGTAGGGAAGGTGGGGGTAAGGTTTGGGGAAAGAGGGGAAGGGCAGAGAAGATGTAGGAAGGAGAAGGTGTGACAAGGTGGGGGTAAGGAACTGATCATGTCCATAAGGCATAAACTCAAATGGTCTCATCTCTATATCTTTGCAAACTGATGTTGAAAACAGATAAAAGGAGTCTTTGCCACAAATTCAAAGTTTTTAATACCTATATCTTTGCAACCTTATGGTGTAAACCTTCGATATTTGAAAATTTGTTTTGATCCAACATAATTATATCTTTGAATTATTTAAGGTCTACGACATTTGGTTGCACAGATATAGAGCTTAGCAAATCAGAGTTTTATGGGAAAGACTCAATTTTGATAATTTTCCCTAAGCAAAGGTTGAAATAAATCCTCTTGATTTTTATTTTTACAGGGAAAAAAATATCTATATTGTTAGATAAAATTCATTATATTTCCGGAGATATGAAAAATGTTGGATTCATGAAAGAAATAGTTCTCCGATGAGATGGTTGTGGAGGTCTCCAATGAAAAAGAGTCTCCGATAGTACTTTAATGATGCTGATTTCTTAATTCCATAACTCAGAATTTGGTGTTCTGGCTTCAATTTCTTAAAATCAAGCAACCAAAAATATTTTTCAATTGTACCACATTTTTCAATTTGATATTATTTAATTTAAAAGTTTGAAATGATTTCAGATGTTGCTAATTTTGGTTACTATATGTATATATATATGCAATAAATTTTGTTCCTCTCGTTATAAATAGTTGTTTATTTGCTAAAATTATCTTAGAGATTTTATTTTTGATAAAACAAAATATATATCGCTGGGATCTTCTCTATACCAAAATCCCCAGGGGTGTATACAGGTATTTGTGCAGAGGGCGGGGGGATCAAGTTTCTAAACTGCAGTACAGTTTTGTCCTAACTTTTGCAAGTTTCTAAACTGCAGTACAGTTTTGGCTTTTAATGATATCCAATATTTGATAATTTCGATGAACTAGTAAATACATAATATATATATATATTTACATATAGGAAAAAACAATTAAAATAACATCCTTTGTTTATTAATGGTTTTTGTCGCTTGTGTATTTATATTTAAATTTCATTGCCATGAAAATGAAAATAAATATTATTTTGTTTTGTTTTAAAAGTTTGTTTGTCCATCCAACCAATTTTCATCCAGTACCATCCAAGCCATACTCTAGAACCAAGCATGGATTTGAAATAAATTGTGAAATTATGAATCTATGATTTAGTAAATTTAGAAAAAGAAAGATGTTTACATAATTTCTCTTCAAACTTGGACATTGGGGGAAAAATCAAAATGGTGAGTTATTCAATTTTTCATAGTAAAAAAAAGTTCAAATAGGAACTGAAAAAGATTGTTTAGTTATTTTGGAATTATGAAAATTTTCAATTACTGATGAGGTTTCATAAGAAGTCTTTACCCCAACATTGTTTTATTAAAGAATATATCTAGAGGAGCTACGAGATCCCAAAGTCGTTCCAGCAATGTTGCAAAAATGTGATCTTCTCCTTCTATTATAGTTCAGTGTTCTTGATGTTATGTCTATGTTCTCTTATAAACTAAAATATTAAATCATGAAGAGGAATAACCATAAAAGATGAAATTTAGATCTAAAGCGGAAACGCTGTCAACCATTTAAATTCTGGCGCGGCAAAAGACCCGACCGGCCGGCGTACATGGGTTTATCACGCAGGGCATTGCTTTCATATCCAGCGCTAAACAATGGCGAAAAATACGCGAAAATTTGAGTAATTTTTTAATTTATAAAAAAGGCTTAAAGGAAGTGACCGACAATGTATGGTTATTGAACTGAGATTGCAGTATTATTGAGAATTTTTTTAGGATTCATGTGAGAGTTATCATGCAGACGTTTTTACAGTGCATATTTGTTCAGCAAGAGCGCAACTTTAATATTTAAAATCCTCATAGATTGCACATTTTGGAGAGACGATTTTGAAAAACGGTTTTATTTAAATTATTCAATGACTATATTATGAAAATTGTAGTAAAAATTCTATAGTAAAATAACTAGTTGTTTAGGAACAAGTTGAAAAAATGATTTTAACTCTTGTCATCGAAAAAAAAGTAATCTTCTTCAGTTATTGGTTTATGTATTGTTTAAATAAACAAAACTATTTTCTTTAAATTTCCTGGAATTTTTAAAGTATAGACGACATTTAAAGAATTTAAAGAAATCTGCGAACAAATTCATAAAGACTAAGAAAATCAATATAATGATGGAAAAGAAACAATTGATTCTATCTTTAATTTAATGACAAATTTTTAATGAGAAATATGTTACTAAACATCTTATTAGTTTAATATTTTTCTTCGTCGTTTTAGAATTGTTTTTAAAAAACCGATTTTCAAAATCATTCCTCCAAAATGGACAGTCAATGAGGATTTTAAATATTAAATTTGCGGTCTTGCTGATGAACAAATATACACTGTAAAACGTCTGATAGGTCTCAAATGAATCCTAAAAAATTTCTCAATAATACTGTAATCTACATTGCCGGTCACTCCCTTTAAAGACACGGTCTACGCAGTGTTGTTAGAAATTTTGGGTCTTCTAATCTAACAAGAATAGATGCATCAGTGTGCGTTTAGTATCTGAGGAGGTTAAAAGCATTAAATTTTGATACTTTTGATAATTCACATAATAGTTACCTATGACCAGAATATTTCATATATTTTTATGTGAAAGATGGATCTCAGGCTGTGACATCTGTCTTGTGTTTACATTACCACCAAGAGACAGTACACTGCAGTACAAAAGATGCGTACATCTCTAAAATAACTTTCCTTGCATTATAACCTTGGACCATACCAATTAATGTAATATTCTCAACTTTCCCTCTAGTTTTGTACCAAGTATTAATTGCTGGTCCAATTCCTCAATTGTTTGACCAATAAATCTAGTTCTAGTCCAAATATCCTATAAATGTTTTACCAATATTTTTACCTAATTCTGGTCCAATTCCTCTAGTTTTGGACCAATTTATCAATTTTTCGTGAAATTTCTCAAAATTTGGACCAATTTCATCTAATTCTGGTCCAGTTCCTCTGAATTTGGACCAATTTATCTAATTCTGGTCCAATTCCTCTAGTTTTGGACCAATTTATCTAATTCTGGTCCAATTCCTGTAGTTTGTTGACCAATTTATCAATTTTTCGTTAAATTTCTCTAAATTTGGACCAATTTTATCTAATTCTGCTCCAATTCAGTCCTAAATTTGGACCAATTTATCCAATTCTGCTCAAATTCAGCTCTAAATTTGGACCAATTAATCTAATTCTGGTCCAATTCCTCTAAATTTGGA